GAATTGTCCGCTCGGAATGGAAAGAAGCGGTTCCCTTCAGCTCGCACTGGGTCTCAAAGTAAGAAGGGTGCCCTTGGGCGCTCCAAATCAATAAAAGCTGCTACTTCAGCAAATGCATCAAATGCTATGTTATTAAAACAATGTGAAGCATTGCTGAATCGTTTGATGTCCCACCAATATGGTTGGGTCTTTAATACTCCAGTGGATATTGTGGAGTTGAACATTCCAGACTACTTTAGTGTGATTAAGCACCCTATGGATTTAGGGACTGTGAAAAAAAAGTTGCTTTCAGGAGAATATGCCAGCCCTCTTGGGTTTGCGGCTGACGTACGGCTAACTTTCTCGAATGCAATGACTTACAACCCATGTGAGAACAATGTGCATATTATGGCTGACACTCTCAGGAAGCATTTTGAATCGAAGTGGAAAGCTGTGGAGAAAAAGCTTCCAGCTGTTAATGACATGCAGGCAGTCCCTGAATATGCCGCCCATAGTGAAACTGGAATTGGCATCGAAATGCCACCTTTGAAAAAGAAGAAAGTTATGCCAGTTGACCCTCGGACTAAGCCTGAGCCAGAGAAGCGGATCATGAGTGACGAGGAGAAGCATAAACTAAGCGTTGAACTAGAGGCTCTCTTGGGAGAACTGCCTGAGAGCATTGTCGATTTTCTAAAAGAGCAAAGCTCTGGAGCAGAGCAGGCAAACAAGGATGAAATTGAGATAGATATTGATGCACTTGGTCATGAAACGTTGTTCAAATTACGGAAGCTTTTAGATGACTATTTGCTGGATAAACAGAAAAAACAGGCAAAAGCTGAACCTTGTGAAATGGAGGTCCTGAACTTCTCTAAGATTCCCTTGATATTTGCTGCGAAAAAGAAGAAGAAAAGTTTCCCTTGGCTTATCATGTATTTTTTCTTCTCTCTTACAGGTTCATAATATGTCAGGTGTCAGCACTTCATCAGTGCCGCCTTGCAAAGGTAATCCTTGTCAAATATTCAAAGTCATGGCTGTGCATGCTCTAACACGTGGTCTGCACAAGGGCTGTCTTTCTGACACTGCATTCTTCTCTTCTTGTGTATTACTAGGAAATGACGCAGTTGATGAGGATGTAGATATAGTTGGTGGGAATGACGCCCCTGTTTCATGCTTCCCTCCAGTAGAGATAGAGAAAGATGGAGTGCATAGAAACAGTAAATGCAGCAGTTCCAGTAGCTCTGGTACTGAATCGGGGTCCTCATCTAGTGGTTCGCCCTTCTGCAGATCTTTGCCTACTTTCTTTTTTCATAAAGTTATGCTTTCTCTTTTGGAAGTTGTATTGTTTAACTGTATAGAGCGCATCTCCTTCTATCATTACCAATGCACAAATACTAGAGACATCTTCCTGTTTTCTAGTTTGCGTCATAATCTGCTTTTGTATATATTCGATTTTTTATTTGTGAAGTTCATACCTTTGAGGGCACATTATTTTGAATTTGATCGTTGAATGCACCTGGTCTGTAAGTGCTGATCACACTTCTTAGCATTTGTACATGAAGTGGTTAAAGTTCTCAAATCATCTGCTTTATTTGATTGTTTTTTCTTTTCGGATGTTCAGTATAGTAGAATAAAATAAGAAAATTCCCAGGTTTTTTGTGTCAGCTTCGCCTGTTGCCTGTCACGATCTCTTGAGAGTTCATTTGATGTCCTTCGAAGAAGGAGCCACAAGTGCTGCTGTGGGGAGTTTTCGTTTTCAATATAATGGCGGAAGGACTCTTCATTTTGGTTATTTTGGCTGTGGTTTCACGTAAATTTGCCTGTAGAGTGGTGGAAATGGGGGGATCTGGGCAACATCTGCATTATATTGCTGATTTTATGCTGTAGTACCTATCTACTAGGACGATAAACGTGTTTCTGCAAAAAATTGTATGAAAAAGAGAAATATGAGAACTGGTTTTTTGCACCACTGATTCAGAAGATGTGCGCATCATATCTCATGGTGTACACATTTTCCTGTTCATCTCGTGTTTGCTAAAGGGTCTGGGTGATGATGTTCTATGTAGTAACTGAAACCTGCTAAAATTTATTATTAACGTTAAACTGGATTTTAAATTTGGTTTACCAGTTCTTAAGATCAACTTCACCAGGCAAGTCCCCCCATATTTTTACATCATCTTTTTTAAATGTAGTTCCATACAAGGTTCGCAAAGTAGACATGCATGATTTGACCCAAAAAAAAAAGAGTAGACATGCATGTAGCATGGTATATGTGCTGGTGTATGCTTAAATCTTCTGTTTTGAAGAAATGGGCAGTGGATCTCTTTGCATGCTTTTTTTCATTGGTAGTGGGTCAGAGTCATGCTCTGCACTCTTAGTTGTTGGTGACTAGATAGTATAACTTTGTCAACTAGTCTGTCAATGTGTATTGGCCATGCTTAAGGCAAGTGTAGTTGGTACTGCTATTAGCCTGGGCATTGTTTTGTCAACATTAGCCATTTATAGGTTATAGATGGCCATATCTTTGTAAAGGGGTACATGTGGATTTGGAACTAGCTTTGTTATAAGCCGTAAGCTTTTGATGTTCAAGACAATGTTATTGAATTGCAGAACATTATGACTTTTCTTGATTGAGCTCTAATTTCTTTGCACCTGTGCTTGTTTCCTACTCGTCAGATGCAGACTCAGCTAGTTCATCTGCTAGTGAATCAGATGCTGCTAAGGTTTCTGGACCTGTCACGGTGACGAAGGTAGATATGCCAAGCTTAGGTGCTGTTGTCATGTTGCATGACTGAGCTTCCGGTTCATATGTTGTCAGTCAACTTTATGCGTATTATTTCTTTTTCTGCAGGAAGGCATGGCTAATGGATTAAGTGATGATCAAAAGAGTACTTTTCATGACTTCGATACTGGTAAATTTAAGTTCAGATCGCATTTTGGTTTAAAAGCGATTCACTTTGTGCAACCATCTAGACTGATGAACTAATAACTGACCTCGCGTTTCATTCTTCGTTTAGCATCTGTTGATGGGATGGGTCAAGTTGTGCAAAATTCTCAGCCCAATCCGCTTCCCTTAGAAGATGATGTTCAGGGAGAGGGTAAGCATGATCATCATAAAGATAATTGTATGCTGTTTGTTACGGGGACGTGATCTCACACGTCGTGCTGTAACATTATAGAGGAGAATACTCCACCCGAGAGGCAAGTCTCCCCTGAGAAGCATTATCGTGCGGCTCTTGTGAGGAGTCGATTTGCTGAGACTATATTTAAAGCTCGAGAAAAGGCTCTTGAGAAGGTCGAACACAGTTCTTGATGCGTCTTTTCTCCGCGTCTGCTCATCTAGATACTTGATTTCTATATTGGTTTTTCACATCTTAGGTCGAGAAGCGGGATCCTGAGAAGTTACGAATGGAGAGAGAGGAACTCGAGAGGCGGGCAAAAGAAGGTCTCTTTTATTATACCATCGTTTTAATTGCTGTTGTGATTAAATGCTGTTTACTACGATGGTTCTCCTCAAAATTCTTATTTTATCTTAATCAGAAAAGGCTAAAATACAAGCTGAGGCAAAGGCAGCAGAAGAGGCTAGAAGAAAAGCTGAAGCCGAAGTTGCAGCTGAAGCCAAGAGGCAGAGGGAGCTGGAGAGGGAACTTGCTCGTCAAGCATTGCAAAAGGTGAGTTCGCGCCCGGCAGTTTGCTGTACCAGGTTTTAAAGGGAACTTATCTGAAAAGTCTTTGGTTTCTGCAGATGGAAAAGACAGTCGATATCAACGAGAACAGTCAGTTTATGGAGGACTTGGAAATGCTTGGGGTTGCTCCAGGTGAAGATTTACCAAACTTCTTGGAGGAGGCAAAGAGCCCAGACCTTTCGGAAAACCATCTGGGCAGTTTCAAACTCCAGAATAGTAGCAATCCTTTAGAACAGCTTGGTTTGTACATGAAGGTTGATGATGAAGATGAGGACGACGAGAGTGAACCGCCCGAAAGTCTTCCAGTTCCACCGCCACCTAATGACGTGGAGGATGGGGAAATTGATTGACAAGAGAATCTTTCTTCTTTCCCATATTCTGACGCTAGGCACGTAAATTCCTTTTTTAGAGGACTGGAAAGGAGTTTGTTTCAGAGGATCATGAGACAAACTAGGGGAAATCTCCTTCCTTCTTAGGTGACCACCAAACTTAGGGGTGCGCAATGGACCGGTGGGGAACATTGTCCTCTTAGCCTTTCCCGGAGAGGGTTGGGAAGTTCTTCCTTTTGGTTTGAACATTTGGTGACTGAGGATGGTTTCATCTTTATCCGTGGACAGTCAGTGATGCGATGCGGATTTGGAAGGGAGAGTGTACATAGACATTACGAGATATTGATTTCGATTCATTAAAATGGACCGCATCAGTAGGCTTTTCTGACGGACACCAGAGTTAAGCTGTTATAAAGAAGGGGCTAAAGCAAGCAAGCTGGGAGGATAAGTTAGAGAAGAAGGGGCAATCTTTCCCTTGTAAAGAAGGTTCTGGTTTTGGTTGCACGGTGGGAGTGGAAGATCAAATTGTTTTCTTTGCTCTGCCGCAAAAGTAAAGGGAAAAAAGAAAGGAAAAAGGCAAAAATTCATTCTTTTCCTTTGTTTGTTCATGTTCCGATCATTCCTTGATTCAATCTAATGCCTTTTTTCAGTTGAAGTATATAATATGTGTTAAACAATGCACCGATTCTTTTTCATCTGATTTCTGATTCGAGAGGCTTTTTAAGATGGGAGTATACACCTTTTGATTTTCCAATGAAGTTCGTAAACTTACCTCATATATCCTCAACTTCCCTTTGTATTAAGTGACTTTCTTTAAATGATAGTAAGTAGTAATTTTCTTCATTTTTTCGTAAATTTTGAGGTCGTAACTTTCCTGTGAAGTTCGGAATTTTGAGGTCGTAACTATATAATTGATCATAAACTTTCATCATACTTTATGATGCTCTCCCGCTGATCGTGAGTATTCTTTGGCTATTCGTAATTTCACCAGAGAGAGAGAGAGAGAGAGGAAACCAAAGAAAGGAAAGATAACATTTGTTCCACTGTACAAAGAGATGACTTCCCACTAACCCACAGTGCGCTACATTAGTCCTCAAACATACCTTCATCTGATATTCTAGAAGATTCGGTCCCATTGACAAGAGGCTGATTCTCAAAACTAATGTTCGGGTCGCCAAGAATGCTGTAATCAAAATCGTCGTCGTCGTCATCCTCATCCTCATCGACTTCATTGCTGTCTGGATCCTCAACTTCTTTCTGCATCACTCCTTGCGATGCAGCTTCTCTCTGCATCTTTTGCTTGATGACATCTTCATAAGGCATTTCATACCACACAACGCCCTTGCCGACAATGGATTTGTTGTGGGCGTCCGTCATCCGCTGTTGCTTGCTTTTCTCTGAGTTCTTCGGCTCGCCCCAGTAGTCGTACCTGTATAAAGGGTTGGAAGGATCGTATTGATCCTTGCCAAAGTAACTGCCGTCTACATACCTTCCTGGCTGTTCCAGTGGCAGAACCAGGGTTTGTCGGCTGTAAAAATGACACGCCTTGTTAAGTGAACATTATCACAGAAAAAATTCTAAGTACCATGATTCCAGGAACAAAGTTCTCTGGCATTTTGTGAAGAGAGAATGAAAGAAAAGGTTTTTCGTTGATTTGGTGACGAAACATTCTTAGCACTCCAAAAGGACATGAACAACAGCTTCCAGAAAAACTTGCTTTCTAAATATACCAAAAAGGATATCATCATAGCCGTTCCCTTGTAATGTTTACAAGAATTTCGACCCAGCTAGAGAATCTTATACTCAGCAAAGGATATCAGCATGCATTATATACATTAAGATGCTCACAAGAAAATTATTAAGTCACACGTACGAAAGTAAAGGCTATCAATAGGTAGACAGTGACCAAAACCATTTTGCTTCATTTGACAAATTTGAATGAACTAAAGTTTTCATTTCACGTGGGCAAACATTAGTTCCTTTCATGGACCATTTTTCTTACTGCAAACTGCTTTGTTGAACCACTTTCTCAATGCAACTGATTTCTTCTCCCCTCACCCTTTTAAGACAAAATAATAAAGCCCAAAGCAAACTGGCACATTGTAGGAATAAGAATACCAAACATGTGCTAAATTCTGTCATTCCTGGAAATCTGTCAATGACAACATAAGTGGCATGTGGAATCTTTCACATATTACATGTTATATAAAGGAAAACAATTAGATCGGGTGATTGCATCCTTTTGGTTAGTTTTGTTTTCCAAAATATTCAGTTAGAGAACACGACAGACGTCAAACAATTTACAATTGGAAAGATAAATTAAATTGAATATCAAAAAGTCAAACATGTTAAAATGACATAGCATTACCAGCTGATATCCCTGATCAAGGCTTCTCTTTCTTCAAATGACCGACGCCAATGCATCAAATCATACTCATCCATCTCAATATTTCGCTTGAATTTGGAAATTTTATATGCCTCTCCCCTTTCTTCTGCTTCTTTTCTCATTTTGTTATGGAACTACATGTAGACAGAAAGCCAATCAACAGACATCTCACTAAGTGACTTGGCAAACAAAACCAGAGTATCATCTAAATCTAGACAAAATGGGACATATGCATATGAAATCAAGCCACAGCAGTGACTAAAATTTCATATGAACAGTACTTGAATAGTGAAGATACAATCTATGCAACAAAGCAATAACTAACCTCACGCTCAGCTAAAGCCGCTTCCAAGTCAAGTTCTCTCACACTAGTTTTCTGCCCAAAAGTACCAGGTAATATTAGAGAAATCACCAATTATAAGACTGGCGCATCTTAAACATCAAATAACCTACCAGAATAACTTTTGGTATCAAGGACTTCTTATAATAAGCTTTGGTATATTCAACACTTTTCTCTTCATCATAATCATCATCAACTAACTCAGATAATTTTTGGTTTTGGTACTTCTCAGGATTGACCTCCAAATCATCCAAAATCATTTGCTCAGCGACATGCATCTGCCACAACTGCATAAAGCCACACCACACGAAATATTGAACAACAACAATTCATACATGAGCTAAAATCAATAGCAAGATTTGCATTTAAAAGACCACAGACTTTTAAAGTTTATTATAAAGATAACTATGCAATCGGTATTTTTCAACACATTATAGACCAGGCAGCTGTGGTCGCAATGCATAACAAGGGCGAAAAGTATGAAGAAAACCTCATAGCATAACGGAATAGTTGAGTGGAAATGCATATATTCATCAGTCAGAATTTTAGAAACATCATGATGTGTTGAAACAAATGCCAACGAACTTGGTTACACATAAAAGAAATTTCAACCTTTTTGTACACATGGAGGACATTATTGCATTCATCACTTGCGTTTTGGTAACAAAATCCAAGGACCAAGTTAAGAAGCTTTGTCAAGAGGGGCCAAGCCCTAGAAAGATGGGAGGCCCTGAAGAAGCAATTGAGCCTTTGCCAACAAAACAAATGTGAGAGCCACTAGGTTTTTTTTATTTCCCTTCCTAACATGGGTAGGTGCTTAAGACCAATAAACCTACAATGAATGACAAAAACAAAGTCCAAAATGCACTCAAATCTAATCGATTCTCACCAACAAAAAGGTAGGACTCTTAAGTAGCACTTCAGCACTTGTTGCCTTGGGACATACGCCCCCCCCCCCTAATCTTTTAAGTGCACTCAGGACCTCTTGTTTGCCATTCAGTTGTGAATAATTTGTGTGTCAATGTGTATGCTACTCAAAACCAAAAAGTTGAAGAAAAAACCATCAATATGGGAACACCTCGCAAATTTTCCAAAAAGTTACCATCCTAGGAAACCCTTGCCACGGATTTTATATAGGAAGCTAGTCAACGAGTGCTCTTAGAAAATAGATCAAGCTACACAGAATGTGCTTTAATAATACACGAGGATGACCTACAATTCAGAGATGACTTGGTTATTATGCTACATCACTTGTTAAGAAGACTCTTCATATACTGTCACTGGAATTTTCACGATGGACAGTAACAGATACACTCATGCAGATAATTCCTTTTAACAATGCACTGCTGCAAAAGGAAGATGAATGGATCTTATCCACACAAGTACCTTATCAACATAAGGGTGATTCGACAATAGAGACTCCTCTTCAGGTTTTGTTCCTGGGTCTTTTCTAGGTATAGGAGGTCTTCCACAATCACGCTGCATGTGAAGGAGCAAAGAAAAAGATGTCGGTTATTAGAACTCTATAGAGACTGGATCTTTTCTGGAGAAAGGTCCACATAAAAGCAAAATGCTTCATGATCACATTTAAGTATGTGCTTTGACAAAATCAAGAGGACTTATTTTGCATGTGTGTTCTAGCGGAAAAAGCAGATTCTGTTTGTGTGTTGTACAGAGAAAAAAAAAACCTGTTTGTATGAATCTGAGCCTAAACAGAAATAATTCAATTGAAGCTTAATCTGGCTAAGACTTCACAAGTAATCCTTGCTAATCCTCGCAGATAAGCAATCAGAAGTTTGTTCCATTTATATACTAGAGCTCTAGTTAAAATGTCTAATCAATAGATCAAGCATTGAATATCGAGTCATGCTCAAATCCAACCACACTAGGAGGACTGCAATTTTGAAACAACCGTCACAGACCCGCAATTCATCAGGATTGCTATCCTCATCCCGATGAAATATTGGTGGAAACTCAAACCTGTTAAAGCTGCAAGTAAGAACACATATCAAATGCAAGAATCACTACAAATGATGGCTGACATAGAAGATAACATTAAATAGCTCCCAAAATGGCCCATGACCCTGCTGAACAGAACTAAAGTAAGGAGAAAGATTTACGTACATCAGGTGATCTATGTTAGGATAGACAAAACGCATTTCAAGAGGAAATCGAAACCTGTATGGGTCTCGCTTTGCCTGCAGATAAAAGCAAATGTGTACAGTCAATCCTGAGACACACAATACGTATATGATTTATTGATGAAGAAAAAAGTGGAGGCATAGAAACGAAAGTAATTAAACAGAAACAACTGAGTTTATAATCCATCCAATAAATTTAGAGCCTGTTTGCTTGGCTGCGACTTTGACTGTGGCTTTATGACTTTTACTTGGGACTTTAACTTGACAAATTCATTTTCAAAATTTGGAGAGTCAATGTAGTTTTCTAAGTCAAACCAGGACGATAAAGAAAGAAGTTGCCTCCAAATAGTGTATGTTCCAAATTGGCCTTTTGCAGATTTGTGCAAAAAACAAAAGAAAATCATGACAACTAATGAAGAAGCTGTACAAATGACACTCACCAGGATTTCGACAATAACATGCATACCAACTTTTATGTGATGGCGGATCCAATACCAATCGTTTCCTTTAATAGGAACCCACCTGCAGCATGGCACAATACTATAGTCAAGAACTTTAATCATATGACATACATATCTACCTATAATACATTAATATTCCCCGAGTCCTAGCATTTAAGATGCAGAATACATGTATTGCAGATGGGTTTTGTTGCCATATGATAAAAGAATCTTCATGGTTGTGGATTCTCAAATTAATCACTGTATATTTCATCTGTGTTCCTTGAAGTCTGGATATTCTTTATACCTCTTCTTTGTACATACATGTCTTGTCAGTTTGAAATTTTGAAAAACTAGAAAGATGGGCATAATAAACATTCACATCCACTGCAACCAGTAGAGATTCTGTTTCATTAGAGACATGAGTATCCACCACCTATCCGTGAAATAAGCTGCTTGCTATTATGAATAATGATGAGGGAACACCATGTTCCTGGGACCAAAGCAGAAATCGCAAGTTCAAATGCTAAAGCTCCAATTGGAAACCTCAGTGATTTTGCGATATACCTAAACCTCCGTTTTGTCCATTGCATCGTATGATACCCAATTAAGCATTGCTGCTGAAGGAGTACATCGTTACAATGGAAAACAGTTGTCAGCAAAAATAAAGCAGCATGCCGATTCCACTAGGACTAGTTGAGCTAGTAATATTCAGTGATTACTAGTAATCTTCAATGAAAGTAACAGAGACAACGGTAAGATAACCAACAAGAAAGGCAAAGTAATTTGATGATATGTGAGCAAACAACTGTACCCGTCATATACGCCTCCCACATCAACAAATGCTCCTTGATAAAGGTGTAAAGTGGTGACCTTCCCCTCGCAAATCTGTAGAATAATCTCTCTAATGTAAAGCTCACGTAATCTCATATTACATAAGCATCTGAAATTTGGAATTTGAATAAACAACTAGAAAGTGTGGATCTATAATGTAAACAATTAAAGAAATAATGTATTTCTATGTAGCAAAAGACTCACACAAGCATTACATGACAAACTAAAAGCAATCGCTCAACAAGTTGAGACTATACGTCCTTTTTCACAACAGTAGAGAATTGATGCATGGCCAATAAGCCAATTACATAGTCACACCTTGAAGAAGGAAATGTTATACAGGTTGTTGTTCGTAATTACAAGTTGCTGGTTCTAAATTTTCAAACAACATATGCCGACAGGATTAAAGAAATTGACCAAATTTAGGGTATGAAGACCAGCTTGCTGCCGAGAAAACCCAATAAAAGAAACACCTAATTATGAATAATGAAAAAGGATATCCTGTCACGTGCATTATTAGTCGCGGCTATACAAGTCCGAGTCTCACACTTCATTTAACTTAAAAGGAAGTTACCTGCCCAGGATAATAGAAAGGCAGCTCGTACTGCATCAAACAACGAAAAAAAGCAAAGTAAGACAACCCATCTTTCGAAGCATTTAGAAAGCTTATGGATGCAACATGATGGTGTAAGTTTCAGAAATTAGTTCTACCATGCCCTCTTTGTAATCTTTGCCTCTTTTCCTTCGTCCAGGATGGTAGTCTTGGTCATACTGAAGAAGAAGAAGAAAAGAGAGAGAGAAATTTAGTCTCAAACCACATTGGCGCTTAATTCGATTTGCGTCAAGTCAGATGATACGCAGCAATTGCTCATAAAACAGCTCTTGCATCAACGCCTGAAGCAAATTCTCGAGAAAAGGCAAAAGAGCACCTTATAAGATTCCTCCTCCAACCTGTCCTTATTCGCCTCGACCCACTCGTTGTACTGCTTGAGGAAAACTTTGTACCTGTCCAGACACATATCATCCGTATCGGCGCTCACTCTGCTCTCCAAATCCTCCAAATCCACCCTCTCCGACATCATCCGGTGCCCCTCGCGGATGAACCGGAGCTCCTCCCTGTCGACGTCCCAGCCCCTGGGAGGCCAGTCGCGCGGGGCAACCTGCCGGACGACCAAGGGCCCCGCCCACAGCGTGCTCAGCCTCTCGGGGATCTCGCCCTTGATCTCGAACTGCTTGCGGTACCACTCGTCCTCGGTGAGGCCCAGCTCCCTCATCCGCTGCCGGCGGTGGCGGGGGTTGAGCATGCGGAAGGCCTCGATGGCGTCGGGGGACTGGAGGGGGACCTCCTCCCCTTCGTTGAGGGACTTGCGGGCGAAGTCGGCCTCGGGGGAGAGGACCTCCTCCCAGGGGGCCCAGCCGCGCTCGATCCAGTTGCGGCGGCGGGCCTGGTCCTCGGTCTCCTTGTCCTTGGGGCCGAAGTTCTGGAGGAAGGTCTCGTCGACGGGGAACTCGTCGGAGCTGAAGCATCTGGCGGGGGCCACAGGGGAGGAGGGGCGGCCGGCGAGGAGGAGGAGGAGGGGCGGCCACCGGCGGAGGCGGAGGCGGCGGAGGTGGCGGGGGAGGTGGAGGGAGGAGGGAGGGTTTAGAGGGGGTTTAGGGAAGGCGGGGGAGAAGAAGAGATAAGGCGGGGCTTCGTGGCGGCGGCGGCGGTGATGTTGGATTTGCTGCATTTTTTAGAGAGAGAAAGAGAAGAGACCGTTTGAATGGGAGAGTTTGGAGGAAAGGGGGAGCGATAAAAAAGGGGGCAAGTATTCCTCGATTAATTATGTTTTAGTGTTTAATTATCCGAGGCTTCACTCCTTACAGATTTGAGTTTAAATCTCTAAATCCCTCGATTACGTAAAGGGATAATGACATAGGTGAATCATACAATTTAAGAACTAAATTGAGCGTATACAAAAGTTCGGGGCTACGTTGTATAAATTAAAAGTTCGAGGGCCATATTGCGCGTCGAGTTAAAGTTTAGAGACCTGCTTGAACAAATTAAAAGTTCGGGGGACCGCATTGCACATTGAGCCAAATTTAGGACTATTTGTGTCATTTTCCATACATAAAATATATAAGATAGCTTATATGTTGACATACACGCGGCGACGTGTGTTTTGAATTGAATCGTTAATAATGTAATCCCTATCGTTATACAAAAACTCAACTGGTACCAAGATCGAGCATCCGATCTTGAATTAATTTTAATGACTATATTATTTTTGAATTTTTCTTTTTCTTTTTTTCTTTTCTTTTCTTTTTTTTTCCTTCGCTTCATACAGTTTAAGAACTAAATTGAACGTGTACCAAAAGTTCGGGGGCTACGTTGCACAAATCAAAAGTTCATGGACCATATTGCGCATCGAGTTAGGCTCGGCTCGAGGGCCCGACCCGCGAACGAATTAAAAGTTCGAGCGCCCTCGCCCAGTGACCACACCGCGAGGCGACCCTCGCTGCGCGGCAAGGGTCTCGAATCAAAGTTCATGGACCAGCGAGTTTGAAAATGAAAAAAAAAAAGAAAGAATAAAAAATAAATAAATATTCGAAAAAATAAAATAAAATAAAAATATTAAAATTTTAATTCGATAAATTTCACATGATAGTATGTTGAAATACACGAGGCGACGAGTGTTTTGAATCAGAAATGTCAAAGCACACAAGGCATGAGATTTAAATTAAATAAGAAAAAATATATATACATATATGTATCTATACATGCATTGTATAACATCGTTCGAATAGGCTATGGTCGTGTATCACGTACTCCACTTAAACTGCTCCTCCTGACAGATGAGCTCATTAAGCATATCATTAGTGAATTTCATCAATGTGCTATGTGGAATGTGCTGTTTACGGCCTGATTTAGACCACTAACTTCTTTTATGTTCGGGCCCCTCATTTTATCCCAATGCTAGTAGCTCAGAAACAAGTCGGGATGCAATGGCCACGTCCCATTTGGACAATAATGTATTTTTAAGCCTCAAAGTTTCTAATCGATGGGTGCGAGCACAAGGAACACTATTTCTGTACAGCTCATCGACGACAAGCTTCCGGCTAATGCATAATCGCGAACCTCTACTGATTTCAGGTCAAGGTCGAAGATTTCGAGCGAGCGAGTTTCTACTCAGGATTGTGGCTGGAAGTTGACAATGCCCGTTTTCGACCAGACCAGACGCTCCTGCAACCACAAAGCTTTCCCCGTGCAATGTCCGCCTAAACAGTCGGACGATTTGTCGGGGTGGAGCAAATCAACCAAGTGTCGGGCTCCTGCTAACAATCGCTACTCAAATTGGGTCTCGCTCGTTGGAGAATGATCGATGTCATCCATCGGTCATCGACGGAGCAGCAAGACTGTCACTCCCACCCCTGTACTTTCGTTGGTGGTGTTCTGCAACAAGTGCTTCAAACACCCATCTGGTCCACATCGACAAGTCCTGGATTACACAACTCCCTCGCCTGTCTCATGAACACCCTAACCCCACAAATGGCCGGTACAGGCCACACATTTCGCAGTTACCATAAGACAAAACCAACCAATAAACGAAAAACAAGTCGCCCTAAACATCGCATCGAAGTAACTAGATCGCCTTCTCATGTCAGTGAAGTTCTAATGGGGAGAGGGAGAGGGAGAGGGAGAGGGAGAGGGAGAGAACCTCTCATCTATCCGAACAACTTTATAATAAGATCCACAAGGGTATACACACCGCAAAGCAGAACACCTGGGGATTTCCATGCCCCATCAGACAACCTGGACAAAAACGTTCCACAAACAAACCTTTTCTTTATTGCATGCTTCGCTCTTATTGGACAAACACACACCGTCACACGCGTGTCCGAAAAACACGTTGACATTATTGAGTACTGCCCTCCTTGCACCACCACTTAATGGCAAGACGCCATGTGCACAATCAGGTCAATCACTCGGGAGCTGCAAAAAATTGGATCAGTGAGAAATGTAAGATCCAAGATATCATCTTGCATATATTTTCTTCCATAGAAGAGGGTGAGGGTGAATTTAAGCATAGAAATATAAAAGTTTAACAGAAAACAGAAAGGAAATGGGAGTACTCGGAAACTAACCTGTAGCCCCATTCGTTGTCGTACCAAGAAACCAGCTTCGCAAAGTTCTCGTTTAATGCAATACCGGCCTTAGCATCGAAAATACTCGACCTGAAAGAACCATAGTCAGATTAAGATAATTCCTTTGAAAACTGGTCATCTTCATTCTGAATTCAGGAGGTGGTAACAACGAGAGGAGCTGATTCCCAGGACGACTTCCTTAAACTCAAGTAAGGCATAGATCAATACCTGCTATCACCCACAAAATCAGTAGAAACCACATCTTCTTCGGTGTAACCCAAAATTCCCTTGAGTTTCCCCTCGGACTCCTCCCTATATGACCATATATTAAGCTCATGGGATTAAACTAAGATGAAAAACAGCAAAACAGTCGACCTCCATAGCCAGATAATAGAAATCTAGCTAGTTCAAGAAAAGATTATCAAGCCATACTTTATAGCAGCCTTGATTTGCTCATAGGTAGCGCTTTTTTCCAATCTGACGGTGAGGTCGACAACAGAGACATCAACGGTCGGAACACGGAAAGCCATGCCAGTCAATTTACCATTGAGTGCAGGAAGAACTTTACCTACAGCCTTGAATCCAATATCAAACACAGAAAAGAGTCAATAACTTGAACAGATACTCACCTATTAAGAAACCATATTATGTTCCCTAAGTACCTAATGTATATCGTACTGTATAATATATTACCTTTGCAGCCCCGGTGCTGCTTGGAATGATGTTAAAGGAAGCAGCTCTTCCACCTCTCCAGTCCTTCATCGATGGACCATCAACAGTTTTTTGTGTAGCTGTAAAAACAAATAAAGATATTAAGGGGAAAAAATTATTACCAGTAATCAGTGTGCTCATCCAATTACTATGGACAATTCGAAGAGCTTACCCGTGATAGAGTGAACAGTAGTCATTAGACCCTCAACAATGCCAAATCGATCATTAATGACCTATGAAAAACACAATGCGACAAATTAACCCTTAAGTCAATAGAATAATAAATGTCATTCCAAGAAAGAGATGGGTATGAACCTTTGCAAGGGGAGCCAAGCAGTTGGTGGTGCAACTAGCATTGGAAACAATGTCCAGGTCGGGCTTGTATTCCTTCTCATTGACACCAACAACAAACATAGGTGCATCCTTGCTAGGAGCTGAAATGACCACCTTCTTTGCTCCACCCTGCAAATAAGTTGGGCCTTATTTATAACTACTGGTCAAGAATTCCCAAAAATCAGCGAAAAACAAATGGACAAGGCATGAGCAGATGAAGCAGAACTCAGCAACTAGAAATCAGCAGGTTAGGGATTGATAAATCTCACTTTTATGGAATTTGGACAAAAAGAGAACAGCACTCAAACATGCAAGTGTGGTGATAATCCCTCGATAGTTCAAACAAAATAAAATTCGCATTTTTTTCATTTCTCCGGATTATCAAAATATAGTTAGATTACAAAGCAGAAAAGTTTTTCCATGCTTTTAAAGCACTTCCACCCTTTCTCATACATAAGAAAAGAGACTGCCTCAGTAGCGGCTTTATATGCAAAAACTCCACTTGCAAACTCAGAATATAGATAAAACTAACACTTTTATGGAGTGAGAGAACACTTTTAAGGACGAAAACCAATTCCTTGGATTCTCCTTAACTAACCATAGCACTCATAATGCAGAGGATTAGTTTAGCACTGAAACTAAAAGAAATCTGAACACAAACCTTCAGGTGAGCAGCTGCCTTTTCCTTATCAGTGAAAACCCCAGTAGATTCCACAATGAACTCAGCTCCTGTTTCACCCCATGGAATCTCCTCCGGGTTCCTAAAGCATCAACCATACATATCCAGAGTTAAATCAATCTTCTCGTAATACAAATAGAGGTTGAGAACAAGCTCAGGCTCAGACGAGGGGAAGACAGCACCAGTACCTGACACCGAAGACTGTAACAGGCTTCTCACCAAAGAGAAGAGTATTGGAGTCTTTAACCTTAAGCTCGTGATGTTTCCACTGACCGTGAACACTGTCATACTTGAACATATACGTCTGCATCATAAAAGAACACAAATAAGTCGAATAACACGACAATCAAAACATCAAAACTCACTTCGGCGCTAAGAAATATTGATCCAATAGTAGATAAACCGTGAAGACTCTAAAGTTAACAAATCAAAAGCACTTCAAATCCAACAGGGAACTGATCAACAACCACAAAGAACAAGTCCCAAAAGCTTTAACAAGTCTAGAGACCAACACCATATACATGTTCTGCATGTTAAACAAAAATCAAGGAGAGAACAGATAGCGGTTGCTGCCGCCGACATAAGCGAAAAACAAAGAAACATAATCCATGAGAAGTGCAGAGAAGTACCATATAATCGGTGGAAATGAAGGGGTCGTTGACGGCGACGAGCTCGACATCGTCTCGCTGCAAAGCAACTCTAGCCACCAAGCGGCCGATCCTACCAAAACCTGCAACAGCAAATGATCAGTGGCCCATAAACCCCGAGATATGATCTGGGTAGGAGCAAGAACAGAAACCCATGAAAACAGAGCAAAGACAAGACCCAATTCAACAGAAAAAAAGAAGTGGGTGAAGCGTGATCCGTTACCGTTTATTCCAATCTTCACCTTGCCTGCCAAACACACCCAAAAGAAAGAACAGATATCAGCACCATCAGAGCATCATCATCCATGAACAGAAGATAAGAAGAAGGTTACGTTTCTACTTATCAATTACCCATGATCGTAGATGGAAGTTCACTAGCCAGGAGGTTCGAGAGAGAGAGAGAGCGAGAGAGAGAGAGAGAGAGAGATCAGTTCAGCAGGAGATAAGAAGAAGGTGGCTGTGGAAGAAAGCACTGGACACTTTAACAACAGCAAGCAAGTAGTAGGAGAATCCAGAAACAGAGGCTTCGCAATAAAGTTGAAAAATGCGGGAGACCGGAACGACCGGTTACCGGTGTTGGAGACCGGAATGACCGGTTACCGGCAGTAAGTCATCGGCTGTCTTAACAGCGCTTATACAACGTACACCTCAATTTCTAACGTGGAAAATAAATACCTCAATTTCTAAAATGCATGTATATATATATATATATATATTGAAAATATAACTGTTTTGAGGACTTTTAAGGATGCAAACTCAAACTTTTTAGTGTTTTCCTCCCATAAGAAATTGGCCATATAATTCTTAGAGAAATATCGAGTGCATATGAAGATCGACTTCTAAAATTGACATATTAAATAACGTATCGATCTTCGATTAATATCTCTTTGTAATTAGCTACCTTATTTGACGTGGCAATTTCATAAATTTTGTTACCATAACTAGCATCAATTTAATTCGTGAATTTATTTAAAGCGATGAATTAGTGATTTTGCGCAAGGTTTCTTTTTTTAGTTCTATTGCCTGATACTACTTGTCACTTGCCACCTGCACGTGTACGTTCCTTCTCCACGTAGAAAGATGGTTAGATGGGCCACGTCACTGATGGTCGACCTGACAAGTGGCTCTCAAAACTCGATTTCCACCGCAACATCCTGTGGCCTTCATTCCCTCTTCAATCTCATCCATCCGCTTTGCCTACTTCCACCCCCTCGTTGACCCACGCAGAGAGTAACACCATAATACTAGAGATACTAAGGGCCCGTTAAAAAATTTTAAACAATTCAAAATATTATTAAAATATTATTTGGGAACAGAAATTTTGTGTAGTTACTAAACGCATTTCGTTCTTTTCTACTCTGGGAATAGAAATTTTGGACATTTATCAAACACCTTCAAATACTCGTAAATTGTTTCCAGCACGGAATCAAAAAAATCATTTCGTTCGAATAGCGCCAGCGCGAGAATGGTATTCATGCGCACCCTAAAACTCATATACGATAAATAAGTGTATTAAATGATGCATCGAAGTGTAAGTGGTTATTTCAATTAGCGTGTCCATTTTAAGCACCCGGAGTCATTTAATAAATCCATTTAGTATGCGACTTCCCTTTTGTGTTAACTTAGTCGACATGATGCTAGACTCCTTTACGGTAAAACCGTATTCTTAGCTATTGCAGTAGCATATAGATTGAATCTACATTGATTTCCAATCCTGATGCAGTGCACTAAGACCGATTTTCACCCGAAATGCTCTCGGTCTCGGCACTCCTCGTTATATATCGAATCAATCCCAACGGTATTATCATTTACTAAACCTATTTAGCGTACGAGTCGAAATCGTCATCAGCATCCCCTAAACTCCAATCCTTCTTTCCCTTCACTTGAAGCTACAAAGAAATTTGGAAACCAAACCCCACGTTAATGGAAGTTGTGTTACGCTTTCTTCAGGTTGGTGGGTGCAATGAAATGATCGGACACCTCTTAATGGTCAAAATGGAGGTCATTTGGTAAAACCATGCAAATGGTGGCGACCCTAGGACCCCCTGAAGATTTAATGTACGGAGAACGAGAAAAGAAGACTCCAAGACAAGGACACAAGACAAAACCTCTACTGGCCTAGTGGCCCACTTATCCATGTCTGATAAGATTGCTTCGGATTTCGCACATGATGTTGTCCTGTCCATGTCTGCTAGAGGCTAAACCCCATTGAATCGCAAAAGCTACAACACCCTTTGGACTCTGCACCATATCCATAATACCAGTCAATGCAAGACATCCATTCACAAGAGAAGAGGAACCCCCGAGTAAAGGTGCATGAACTCTACAATGCAACAGCACATGACCATATTGCAGGTACCGTCTTCGCCTACTGCATTATCCTTCGTCTTCGGCGAAGCTAGGGTCGGTCCATACTTCAATTCCCGTGATCCAAACCCATCACTCTCTTCAACAGGCTTTACGGGCTTTGAACCCAATTAATGTTCGGCCCCCGAGACATTAATGGGAAGAAAAAGAAGGAACAAAAGAGAGTCAGGACACAGCCTCAGCATTGCACAGAAAAACCCAAAAGCCATCTCTTCAGCTCGGACTGTTGTCCTTATTAACCCGTTCTCGCTCAGTCTCATATGCTGACATAAACATCAGCATATCCATCTCTCATTGTTAAAACCGAAGAACCAACCACGCAAATCAACATTTAGCTCTTCCTAGGCAAAGTCACTCAGATAGCTTTGCTGCATAAAAGTTACAGGACCTGTCAAGTGCCTTAATTGAGCTCTGATCTATATTTGTTATGCATAATATTTGCATTCTCCAGTCCTCACACAAGAACTCCTCAAAACAAGCATCTCATCCACCAAGTTCGTACAACATCAAACAAAGAAAACAAAATAGAGACTGCAGCTCGAATAAATGTATGAGTAGCTGAAATGTTTTACCATTGTCTTTGATAAATTCAAGGACCTCGACTTCGACACATGCTCAAACCAACGGGTGCTTGAGAATGAAGAGTTTGCATCAAGCGTGAGGTCTGGTTGCTGCGTCCCCTCTTCACCTTGTAGGATATTAGTATCCATTGTCCAAACCTTTTCTAAGCTAATCAATGTTGTGGAGAATCCATCTTGTTGTCACCAAAAATTCACTCCAATTGAAACAAAAAACGAGGTATCCTACACGGATGAATATTGTTGATGGAAAAATAAACCATACCAAAAAGATAATACACAGTGGATGAAGGGAAAGAAAACAATCAAGTGCATGATTGTAAACAAAATAGAATCAGTGAAATTCACTCAGTCAGAAACAAAGACGGTCTTTGGAGAGTATGTAGCATATCAATGCCATCCACGGTAATCCATCTCAGACAGACCAATAGAATATATGTGCACTTCTTCTAAGTTTATGGTTGACCGATATTGCTCATCATCATTTGGCTATTGCATTTATTTTTCTCGTTGCTGGAAGCGAAAAGTCCCTCTCCACTCCATTACTTTGGAACTGAATAATGTGATGAAATTTCTCTCTCACCAAAGCATTATAGGCCGTTCAATGCTAGAATCGGCACTCTCCTCTTCACAACTGCTCACACCAGAACTATGCTGTTCATCTAGTATCTTCTTAACATTCAGCACGTAAACATCAGTCAGTATGGAAGGTCTCCTTGAGGAAGATCCCAGTTATCATCTTCATCATCATCAGCCCTTTTCTTCTTAGGCATCTCGTGTTTAGCCTTCTTTGCCAATTTAGCTTGCGGGCGCCTGGGAAGAGAAAAAAAAAAAGTGAAAAACTTTATTGGGAAGTCTCAATTAGTCACATATGCAAGAATATCGTGATACGCACATTCGAAAGATCATGAGATTCAACTACCAGAAATCTTTGACCCAACATCAAGATAAAAAGTAATGCATTTTCATCACCATCATCAAGAGAGAAGAAGAAATTGACTGGCTACATTGCAAAATGATCAATATTTCTCATGCACGACAGTTTCCAAAGTAAATAAACATGGCTTCTGATTCAATTGCTTCGACACGCTGAAACGGTGGCAGGACATTGATCTTCACCAGTAAAGATTGATTCTTTGCTCATATTCTGCAATTAATTTGAGATTTAACCAAACATATCTCAGTACCAATAATTACCCAAGGTCATCACTCCCTAGTTTGAAGGAAATGGAGAAACAGCGGCATATTTTACTGGCTACCCGGCAATCTTGGAATGATATTGGCTAGTTTGACAAAACAAGTGATAGACTTAAATCTCAAACTAGCTCGTGGATTCTGCTATTAGTGATGATCTAATTTCAATGCCACCGTCAAGTTTTCCTTCAGAAGTCGGCCGGTCATTGCTGTCCTCTACTTCAAATTCCAATGTCCATCACTTCTGGTAACAGCAATGCAATGTCAGTTTAACTTTCTTATGCACCAAGCAAGAACTACCGTTCTCTTATCTATTCAAACAAAACAGAAACAGAAGCACAGTCCCACCACAAAAAAGAGAGATCATACAACAACAAAAAAGCCAATAGTGGAGGACTGGAGGCTAATTATGCAAAGAATTTCTGAATTTAGGAAGTCAGAAAAACCAGATCAATCACAGTTTACATGGAAGCTGAACTTGCAAAATCAAATACCCACAGCTGCGAATTCTCAAGTAAAGATCTTATTCAAGAACCTGAACAAAAGAGAAGGAAAGAATACCTCCGGCGATTTCGTTTGGCAGCATCTCGAGCCTTTCGCTTCCTGTACTCCTGATTGGTCTCGAAGAACCTCCGGCGCCGGCATTCTCGGATGATGCCGGCCTTCGCGACCTCTCTCCTGAACCGGTTCACCAACCTCTCCTCCGACTCGTTGTCATCCACCGTGATCTGCACGTTATAGGTCGATTTGAAGAAAAGGGTGTTCGCGTACGCCAGCGAAGGACACGCGGTCGACATCGTCGCCGAGGAAGGCGACGGCGACGGCGACGGCGACGGACCCACGTCGGCTACGAGGGGTGCCCACTTCGGGTGGTGGGCATCGGTGGGTTGGGACGGGAGGCGAAGCCATGTCACCGTGCAAGAAGAAGGAGAAGGAGAAGGTGGCGTTGACTTGGACGGAAGAACAGAGGAGAGGAAGTCGGTGAAGAGTGAGGAGGCGGTCATCATGGCCATTGGGTCCTGTCGACTGTCTCAGAGTCAGGGTCATTCCTTAATTTGTCTGTATACTGCATCAGTGGCCATTCCTGGCCCACTTTAGTGCTGCTAAGCCCTAAAATCATCTGTTCAAGTATATTGGGGAACATGAGATTTTTCGATCCTCCTCCACTTGGTAGACCAGAGCCTTAACGTAAAATTGTTCATCCATACTGAAGAATTTCAGGAACTGAATCTGAATCCCTCATCCATAAACACACCCTTGGCATCGCCTTTCTCGAAGGGAATTCCCATAGTGTCATTTGCTAGAAAAAAAACAATTAGCGAGAACAGTGGGTAGACTTGTCGAAACGAGTGGATCGGATCGGATTCGGATCAAGTTGAAAACGGTCTGACCCAAATTGACCAATTTATCTCATTTTGACCCATTTTAACGCAATACAAATCTATTGAATCATACTCAACCACTAGTACCCAACCATATCGTTAAAACACTTTTATATTTAACCAAATGTTAGGAAAACTCATTTCTAAATTAAGGTAAAAGCACGGAGTGATCGAGCGTTAGATCAAGTAAGGGTGAGAGAGAATTAAGTCTAAACCATTATATGTATAAGTTATACCGGATATAACTTATCCATATAACAACTCAGCCTATCAAATATTGATTAAGAAATAAGTCTATAATTCATTTTGATAGGTCTACCGCAACAAGACGACGACCAAGCATCATTCGCCACTTTACAAGTCCACCGACCAACCGTCTCCAAAAAAAAAAAAGTACTTCAATTGCAGCAGATATGGGAACTTGTTGACCTGAATAATTTTTTTAAACACAAGAAAATTATGACAACCGTTTCCGCAGATTAATAGTTTGGCGGGTAATCTTACAAACAGGCATTTTACCGTTATAGAACATCAAGCAATGCACCAATGCGGCACACTTCTAGGGATCCGACATATTTCATTGTGAGCATCGGGAAGAGAAAGAAAAGAACATAAAATAATCAAAAGACCAGCCACTTGCGCACCAACCCATTCCCAAAAGCCGGGGAAGAACCGTTTGTCGCATCTTGCATCTCGTTATCCCCGACTCCACGTGGGTCAAGTCGCCTTTTGGACATAAAGTCGGGTGAAGAAAGAACCTTGTTCAATTTCGACACTTCCATTTATTGGGTTTCATATTCCCGGGATCCATCACCAGAAGAGCCTGCCCCAGCTTCAGCAACCGTGAGAAGCACTGAAATTGAGGCTCAATTGTTCTCACCTGATTCTGATCTCCCTTAGAAGAAGAGGGATTGCTCATCTACAAAAGCGTCATTACTTGGTTCAAGAAGACTTGCCTCTTGGTCCAAAGTTTCTGCTGCCAGGGGGTGCTTATTTCCACAAGGACCATAAAAGCAGGAACAGAAACCCCTCGCTGGAGTGTTTTTCTTTGTACGCAGGACTCCTCCTAAGTTTCCTGCGCCCAATTGGTTACTCTTAACTGGCGCCAAATAATATCAAACAGTAAAGAACTAATAGAGCACTTACATTGAGAGTCAATGATGTATGTTATGCAAGCAGGTACTGTTGGGGGAGTAGATGAGATTCGTCTACAACTCTATATCTCCTCTGGGGATTCTAATTATACCCTTGGACAGATCAGGTGGGAGGCTGATATTCTTTGCCTTGACAGCAGTTTCTACGGTCGATTCTAATGCCCGCGAAGCTTGAAGGGCCATCTCAGCATGATGTTGGAGACATGACATAGCTAGCTACAAGAAGGGAGATACGATTTTGGTCATTCATATATCGAATACTCGATAAAGGAACTTCACTATTGTCAGATTGATAACCAATGTTGCACATGTTAGAAAACTAAATATACTTCAAATTGATATCATATGGGCTAAGCAAAAAGTGGAAAGAAAACAAAAATAGGAATGAACAAACAAGCGGTCATAGAGGATCTCATCCAAAGACCAAGAAGAGGTTGCCTCTTATAAAAAAACTAATGACAGAAAGGGAAGCAATGAAGAGCATGCATCAGGAACATTGGCTAACATGTCTTCGACGTATCTCCAGTTTCATGATATATCCTATAAAATACTGTATGCAGTAAACTCTCTTTAAACATGCTTGTCCGAGCTTTCCTTTCTTCTTCGTACTGTCAGCATGCACTGATATGACTTTCCAAATGATTGTAAATGTTGTAGCCTGAGCGTTACTCAAAAACTGAAAAAATAATCAAATACAACAATGTTCCCAGTGTAAAAATTCATTCTTTACCGTATAGCATTCTCTGTCAGGGTCAGACTCCACAACCTGGATGGCCCATGTCCGGACCCATTCAAGACCTCTAGAAATTTCTGCATTGCCTTCAACCAAAGCAGATGCGACAAATGAAGGAGGAAGTGCTATTAATACACACAAAGCGGCAAATAGAACAGATCTTCTAACATATGCTTCACTGTGATGGCAAACTTCTCTGCAAAAATAAGAATTCAATTTCAGATTGCAAAGTTCTGCAGTTATCCTGAGAAGCATGTCCTAAATATGCTGATGTAATTTGCACTCAGTGCTGCCTCATATATTGATATTTATTTACCTTGATCCCAACATATCTAAGAGAGGCGCAGCCAATGCAGTTGCTTCAGGATGCAAAGAAGCGCATTTCATGCATACACCGAGCATATAGATAACTTTTCCTAAGACTATATAATCCCTTCCGAGCAAGTCAACGCCATGCCTTTTCTTATCGAATTCCTGCATAGCAGGGAGCATAAAAGCTGCCGCATATACAGGAAATTTATTCTGGGATATGTCAATCTGATCTTCTCGCATATTTGTAGACTTAATGCTCCATCTGCGCGTCTTCCCTCGCTTCATCTGACCGGGTTTTGGAGGAAGCTCTCTCTCATAATGAGTTGTCCAATTTGGAACATTTCCAGTCCCCAAACTTGACAAGTTCAGCACAGTGCCGCTCCCTGCTACCTCCTTCCAGGAACCAGCGCCGGCAGGCCCCGCACTACTGGGCAAGAACCATGGTCGACTCTCTGAAGTGATAGATACAAGAGGCCCTGTCTGATGTTTCAATCGCATAATCTTGGCCTTGGCAAGTTCTTCTGCTGCTTCGGTCATTATGTCAAGTATCATTATCCTTTGGCTTACATCCACATTTGGTGAGTAAAGTAGCTTGTGGGCAGTTTCAAGGGACTCCAGTGGACATGACACTACCAAAGCAACCAACGCCCTTTGTCTTTTCTCTTCTGCTGAATCTTCCTCACCTTCAACAGCCACATCAGAGCAACGAATTTGTATGAGAGTTCTAACAAGATCGCTTGCTACATATTTTAGTTCATCAGGGGATGCTCGCACAAGCTTTTCAGCAACTTCAAGAGCCTGCTCCACCTGCAACCCACAAAATAAGAAAGGGGCACATTCGTTCAGAGAACTCCTGTGTCCATCTGGTCAAACCAGATTGATTGGCAATTTTGCCAGAACAGTATTCTTTATATTGTGGACTTGTCATACCACAAATGTGCAAAACAAAGTTTCACCAAAGAGGATCTCATAAGTGGCCTAGGAAAGAAATGGATTTTCTTCAAGAGAATTGTGCAGGATGAAGAAATAAATAAGCACAACAGAATGACTTACCCCATCAACATCATCAGTTTTTCGTAATGCTGCCACTACATCAACCAACTGTGAAAATCTTCTCTTTAAATCTGTTTGATCATCTGTCAAGTCATATGGCTCCAATGAAGAGTCACTCGCGGCATCGGAACTTTCGCTCACGTTTTCATAATTATCATAATCAGATTCTCTTTCGAGTTCTAGATTAGCTGGATCAATAATCTCATCAGGGTCGATCATCTTATACTCAGATAACTTCTTCCTTTCATCTTTCAGATCACCTTCCTCCCCATAAGTGGCTATATCATTAGACTCATTCATGTCCACTGTGCCAACAGATGTCTTCGTTTCATGAATTCCCTTTATTCTGCAATTAGAGGTAGGCAGCGCACTGTCTTTGGAGGTACCTAAACCAAATTCCCAGTCGATACTCTCTCCACTGAAGCTATCATCAAGGTACAAAGGATTTTTTGGATCAATCACTTTCGAGAATGCTAGAGCGATGCTGCTAGCCATTTTTCTAATTAAATGGTCAGGACTCTCCAGCCTACCTGCAAGCGGTCAAAACAACAATTAAAAGGGCGGAAACAGTAACCTTATTGCCATTGAAACTAGTAAGTGGACAAAAATATACAGCTAACTCCTTGAAGAATTGAGTGCATCACATCCTTAGACTTATCCAGTTCCTCCTTAGACATCTGCTCCAGTAAAAGGCCTACCGCTGCTGTAACATCTGAATGTAAATCAAGGTAATACATAATGCCAAATGCTATACAATATTACTTTGGTCCTCAGAAGTCCATGATACATTTTGTCTGGTAAAAGTTTAACGCATTCAACAGGCACTCAATCTGTAGGAACTATTACAATATTTCAAAGAAGATGGAAGAGAGGTTCTGTTGTTTCATTCTTTCCGCATAGACCAGCAGTCATGAATACTGAGAAACATCAATAGATAAATGACAACAAATAATAAGAGGATACAAACTTGCTGCTCCAATGACGCTGATCGCACAAACTCCTGTTTGGACCATACTACCACCAGACTTTGCAGTGTAACTGGAAGCTGTTGCGAAACATGATTTGAGACTTGTGAATCAGGGTTAGGAGGGCATCCAAACACAGCAAACTGAAATATCCAACGCAGGCACCGTACAGGTAATACTTTCCAGAGTAGAAATTTGTCCAGAAACAATGTCCTGAGAAGTCCGAAAAAAAAATTACACGATTGACATGTGGCATTATGCAAATCATCAAAGAATAAATCCATTCTATTACTTCCACCAGATTCCGGGTGCAATCTAAAGCCATAACCAGGGAATCGAATCAAACTTCTCTTTAACAGAAATCTTTACTGCAGGCAAGTGTCTGTGCCCGTATGTAAGGATTTGATGTAGTCCAACAGCAATTTCTCTCGATAGCTAAACTTATCAGATGAAACACTACAATAGCCCATCACGTCAACAGGCATATAAG